CACACACACACACACACACACACACACACACACACACACACACACACACAGTCGCTCACTCACTTACTCTCACATACACATGCACACACACGCATACACACTCTTCCCCCCCCCAAAAAAATAGGTTCCGCTTCAACCCACTAGAGTAGGTGATATGTGCATCCCCCTATAGTGGACTTACGGCAGAATACTACTGTCTATTGGTGGGGAGCGACACCTGCTGGAAACTGGGTCCGGTGTCTCATTAACATCGTGAATAAAGCACCAGTCGGGACCCCCCCCACACACACACTCTTCGAGTTGTGTATAGTAAACATGAAAGAACACAAACACAGCATTATCACTACCTTACCCTTTCCCAACCATGTGACGCCCAACGCGACTTCCTAATCAGAGTGGGAAGCAAGTCTGGAAGTAGCGAGAAAGGGGTTGTGCTAAGGATTTTCGGAAAAAGGGAGCGGAGCCCCAAGTCGGAAATGGGATCTTTGATGGCAATATGTTGAGGACAAGGATGCAAAATGCTCAGGCGATGGAGGTTTTTTTTGAATTTTCGGTGCAGCCGGTCGTTAGCCTCGGAGCAGCCTTGGCGGTAGTTCCCCTCCATGCAAGTTGATAAGCAGCCTTGGCGGTTTTTTTTGAATTTTCGGTGCAGCCGGTCGTTAGCCTGGGAGCAGCCTTGGCGGTCGGGAATGGATGTCGAATTTCTATGTTATGGATCCGTATTGTTACGGTCATTCCCCTCCATGCAAGTTGATAAGTACGAGCTTGACGAGATAGTTATATGAGCGCGTGTATGCGTCACGGGCCTCGTGGTCTGCGAGTCACAGCGCATGCACGAGCTCGTATATGTTCCCTTCATCAAACAATACACAAAAATGACCAACTTCACCGTCTCACATCAATTTTCGCAAACCTATTTCAAAGAAGCATCTATGCTCTCCGGTCATAATCAGGAACAACATAAAAATTTCTATGAGACATGAAAGTTGAAAAAACATTCCATAAAAAAAAATTCTTCATATTTATAAATTATCATTCCAATATTTGTCAAATCCTAAAATTTTAAATTTAATTTGATAAGTTCTCGTTGTTGGGCGCATCGATCCGGCACCGCACATGGCAGCGCGGGACCCTTTCGGTCGTGTCACGCAGGAGTTGAACCTACCTCGTCGCAAACACACAGATGGAGCTTCCGTAGGCCGCTCGGGCCGAGTGTGCCATCCATACCTCTCGCGAGCCCCTACGACAGGATAGGGCCTACGCGAGGCACAACTTACCTCCACCTTATGGGAGTTGTCACCTCCCTTCAGTGGGCGTATCCCCGCCGAGCTACCAGTCCACAGTACGAAAACTAATCAGTTGCAATCGCAGAGGTGGACCAGACGAGGGCGTTTCTCGTTCGCTGCAGCATAGGGGGCACGCGCGGTAATACGCCTATCGGGCCCGCACGCGAACCGACATCTTGGGGGGCTGAAGTCCCAAGCGCGGCCCGACATCGGTCGACTAGGACGCATCCCACACACCACGCGCACACCGCTTTACGAACAAAAAAATAAAACACACACACACGCACATACAACACGACACAACACAAACAACGCGACAACGCTCTTAGCCCCTCGGTAGCCAACCCATAACTTTCCGATGCGGAAATCGGATAGGCGTCGCGCGCGAGACCTGATATAAAACCGCGCGGACGCAGGGCTAACTCATATCGACTCGCAATGCAAACGTATGAAAACAGTCGCATTGATGGCGTACTATGTAGTGCCCATAATCATGCGGTCCTCGTTAATCTCGAGGGTTGCATCCGACACTCAATTGTCGGCTCACACGCGCCTTGAGGGTTAATCTCTCGACGCTGGACAACCGCCAAGCGCGGTTAAAGAACACACACCCTCTTCTGCACTCTGTGCAGAGTGAGGCAAATAGGCTGTGCACGGGGGCCGGTTCCTTCCCTTCAGAGTCTAGGGCTTGGGATGTCCTGGACAAGGACCTTGAATCCCAGCCCAGGACCAACGTCCGACCATAAAAACCTCTAAGAAGCAAAGGATAAAAGAGAATCTCCCTCTTCCTCTCAAGCCATAATCTGGTTAGCCCTTGCGCACGATCACAATAAGTTGCGCGCATGCCCAAGACACATATAAATATATACATAAGGCTTATTTATATAGGACGATCGCTTCTCCCAGTCACAATGAGATTCCTCTCAGCCATATGTGTATGTAATTGCAGACAGTCACATCCAGAGTCCGAACCACAACCATACCTGCAATCATATCACAGACCCAACAAGTCCATGCACTACACGGGGTCAACTTCAACCATTCTCTGTACTCATACCCATAGCCTTAGGCATACAAGCCTCACTCTTGTGCAACTCCCCAAAATAAGTACTCAATACCTTAGTTAAATGGTCATTCAATAAAGTCCGGGTAAAAACGCAATGAAACAATTCAAACCACAGGGTTAAAGTCTTTAGGTTGAGTGACATGAGTGAATTGGAGTTGAATCGTAAGCCGACGAATCGACAACCGACCTGTTATCAGTGATAACGGAAGATGATCCTCGTAGGTCGGGCTGGAACTAGTCCAAGTCCTGGATCAAACGATCAAAAGGACTTGTAACACAAGACAAGTCAATCCCTAGGCTAGATCTATAAGTCCATGGAAAATAATCCCCATATCACGATCTCACTCAAATCTTTCTAATTGACTAAGCTTGAGTTTACTGCTAAGCAGTGCCCAAAGCAAAGGTAGACCCTGACATAATCTTCCCTATTCAGAGTGGATCGTCTGAATCGCCACCTGTCAAAATATAGTCTAACTCCTTTAAACTAAGAAAATTTTGGCAGCGCTTCCCGTAGGAAAAGTGTCTTTTCAGAATTTATATCAGCCAAAATATGAAAACAGAAATAGTCTTTG